AGCGCGGAGGCTCGGACAGCTAAGCAGCGGAAGTTCGCGCAGCGCCAAGCTTTGATCGACGAGCAACTTCGTCAAGCCGAAGCCAAAAGCGCCATGGATGGGAGCCACTCCCTCTACAAGGTTATCAAGACCTTCAAGCGAGGACGACCTAGCGAAAGGGTCCAGCTTCGCGACGAGCAAGGCCGCTTTCTCACTGCAGTCGAGGAACGTCAGGCTCTTGAAGAACACTCTAAGGACCTCTTTGGGAAGGGTGCAGACTTCCAACTAGATGGAGTCACAGGCGAACTGGGAATCACCTCATCGGAGACAGCTCCGCTCCATAAAAATAGGAAAGGCAGTCCCTAAGGACTACCCACCCATAGTTGCCTGGCGAGAAAGAGGACCCGTAGCTCAGCAGCACGTCGCTTTCCTCCTGAACAGGGAAGCACAAACCTCGAGATTGGATCCTAAAATCTCCAGCTCTAGTATCTCCTGGCTCCTTAAGCCTCCCAAGAAGCCCGACAAGCCAGCATCGCTGTGCCCCATCGGTGTGATAGCCCCTGAAGGTAAAATCCTGGCAGGATATCTCAGACAACGACTCAAACCTGCCCTGAAAGCAGCCATGGCCGAGGTCTCTCAATTCGGCTTCGTGCCGGGACGTGGAACGGAGGAGGCCGTTTGCAAGGCCTTAACACGTGTCGACGAAGCCAGGGCAAGAGCGAGAAACAGTCAGCGTCATGCGGGACGAGGCCACAGGGGCATCAGATTGAAGGGTAGCCTAACTCTTAGCGTTGACATGAGCAAGGCCTTCGATATGGTAGATAGGCGCAGGCTACGGGAGGCTCTCGAGCTGGCAGCCTTCTTGATAGATCTGGTGGGCAAATTACACGTAGAGGCTCTCTACGAAATGACGGCTAGTGACCAAGCCTTTAGCGTGGCCACCAGGCGAGGCATTAAGCAAGGCTGCAAACTGGCACCTTCCCTATTCGCCTATGCAACCTTCCTTCTGTTTCGGAAGTTATAGGGGAACACTGCGACATTGAGGCTCTCAGGCAAATCCTCACAATGTACGCAGATGACACCTTGCTTCAAATGCATTTTGACGATTTGCCCCAAATGCAAGAAGCGCTGCGGCTGTGTGACTTGCTCCTAGACCAGCTCACGGAGCTGGGCTTCAAGGTGAATCCTGAGAAGTCGGCTCTGCTCCTTCAACTGCACGGCGGCTCGGCGCAGCAGATCAGGAACAAACTGGTCCTAACCAAGAAAGGCGAGAAGTGCAGGTGCCGTCAGGCCGACTCATCGCGCTTAAAACGCAGGTTCCGTATCTGGGGATAATCGTCTCCTATCATGATTATGAGATGCAGTCCCTGAGACATCGCCTGCAAGCCAGCAAAGCCGTAATGAAGGAAGTCGCACATGCGGTTCGCAACAGTCCTGCTGTCACGGAAAGGCATCGCATGTCTAAATGGCGAATCACAGCCTGGGCATCAGCCCTATACGGCTTGCACGTCGTTGGACTCACGGAACAAGGCCTTGCGGCTCTAGAGTCCCACATGATATATCAGCTGCGCTTTGTTCTGAGAAGTTACTCCCAGAGCACCAGTGAATCCAATCAGCACTTGCTCAGGCGCAAGGGTTTAAAAAGAGCCAAAGCACAGGTCATGCTGCACCTGAAACAGTTCCTTAAGCGTCAGCAAAAAGGGGACAAGGAGGCACTCCTCCCATTCTACTTACCCAGAGCGCAAAAGCTAGCAGAACTGCTACCGCAGCTTCAGGTAGTTGATCGGGGAGGCCCTGGCAACCAGGAGCATCAACATCTGTGCACGGAGTGCGGGGGGATCTTATCGGCACAGGAGCTCTGCGTAGGCACTCGCAGAAGCATCACCCAGGCTATTTCCCAAAGGTCCCAAATTTGTCCCTAAAAAGCACTCTAAAGCAGGGACGCCAGAATGTCTAGCCTGCGGTCGTGCCTTTAGAACATTTTAGAACGTACTTTTATCTCCGAAGACACATAGAGATCTCAACTTGTCCGTGCGTACATGTCCTCCTTCAGATTGCTCAACAGGAGACTGTCTCGACGACTGAGCTGGACAGGGTGCATGCGGACGTAAAGCATGAATCTCTGAAGGACCCTGCATCTGCGGCTTCCAATCCTGATCTACATGTCTGGCTCATGGAGAGCTGCGCGTTATGTGGACAGGCGTTAGCAGGCAACAAGGCTGTCAAGCAGCACCTGAATCGTCAGCATCCCGAGGTCATGAGCAGAGTTCTGCAAATCATCACGCCACGTCTTCAGCAGCACAAGGTGATGATGGAAAAAGGGAGCACATGTCGATACTGCCAAACTAAGGTCGATGCCCCGGGAAGGCATTCCGAACAATGTGTGCCTCTTCTGCAAACTCGCGTCCTCCAGGAGGCCCAGCAGCGGCAGGGGCTTAACATGACTCCTCGGGCCTATGAGGCCAGGCCTAAGCAATCGTCTAAGCAGGCCAAAGCAAAAGCCACGCCTCAGGTGGGGCTGCAAGCGCCCGTCTTCGTACTAAACGGCTTCTGGCTTCTGGCAAGCCGCTGAAATCATTGCTATGGGAACTGGGTGCTGCAAATTCTGCATTGGGTTGGTCCTGCAGCTGAACACTCGCTTTTGCAAGACTCAATACGAGCAAGCCGGTTAGCACAACTAACTCCCGAACACCCCTCTCTAGAGCCAGTCACTCGTGGCTGGACATTTGATGGAAGTCAGCAAGATGCGGCTGAATTCCTCACCGCCATTTTGCCCAACCTCTCTCCCCTGTCCTTGGGGGCCTGGGAGACGCGATCACCAATGGAAGCAGGGTACATTTTAGACGAGGAAGGTCCTTCCCCGGTGTTCTTGAAAGTGGACATGGCAGCAGACTTGCAAACACTGATTAACAACTGGAGCCGTAGGTCACCGACTCATGCCTTCATCTTTCCAGATAGATTTGTCTGCCTAGCCTTGCCTAGGTATGCAGGAAATGGCAAAAACAGCCATCCAGTAAAGCTTCAAGAAAACGTGGAAATTCCTTTTTACGCAGGAGCTGATTCCACATTGGCAAGAGTTGGTTTTCGACTAAGGTCGGGAGTCGCGCATCTCGGCGCGGAGCCCACGTCAGGCCACTATCGCAGCTTCGTTCTTTCCGAAGAACAGTGGTACCTAGGTGACGATGCCAGACCGCCGTCTGCATGCCAGCTTTCTGATCAGTTGATTGCAAGCAATTGCTATCTTCTCCTTCCCGAGCATCAGGAGGACTAGCTTTCAACGCCCAAGGGACACTCCAGCATGTCTTTGGAAGATCTCTTTCGTAGCGGGCCTATGCCCTATGCTGGATATTACCTCCAAGAGAGGAGAAGCACCGAGCAATCCCCCTTCTAAGGGACAGGGCAAAGGCAAGAGCAGCGGCCAACGTCGCAAGGACGGAAAGCCACCGGTGTGCGGAAGCTTATTCTCTGAGTGGAGTAACTCCCTAAGAGACTCCGTGGAGAAACTCCCGGAAGATTCCAGCAAGGACACTTCAATCGGTTTTTGGCAATTAGCTACACGCTGCTCTCACCAAGTGGAGAAACTCCCTAGGACTCTGTAGCACTTGACGACTGCTCAGCTGCGGACTCCAAAATTTGTCACAGTGCCCGAGCCTGTATCCAGTGATAGGGGGGTGCCTAATCTATAAGACATAGACCAGCAGACTTCTCTGAGAGTGGACGACACCTAACTTTGCCTTACTGAGGGGAGCAACTCCCCTTTCTCAGCTTGAAGCTCAGCTGCCATGCGGCATCCAGGCAGAAGATTCGCGACCGTCAAATAAGCATCGCAGTTGTCAATGTCAGTCCTGCAGCCTTAAGGGGCGGGGCAGCAGCAGGTGCTGAGCTCAGGCTCGGCCTGCACGCTTCAGCGATGCTCAGCACCCTGCATTCCTAGGAGGATTAACTGGGAAAGAGCAGTAGTGGCTCCTGCTGTCTTGAGGGACGGGGAGCTTTTGATGCTTTGCACCGAGTGAACAGTCTGTGTGCGCTCAGTAGTGGAAGTAGCAATGAGGAGGAGGAACTCCCCAAGGCACCGTGGCCTAAGTTGAGTCGTCGCAAAGCGAGGCTAACTAACCGAGACATTCGAGGACTCTCCCGCTGCGAGTGAATGAAATGTTGTTGTTGTTGTTGTTGTCCTTGTTGCTGCTGCTTGTGTCGGTGGTGGGTGCACAGTCGTGGCATTGTCCCATCATGCTTCGCCAGACCATGATTAACCACCGGAAGTCAATCTGTCTTCTACTCGTCGTCTTCAACATGTCGCCTGCTGTCGTGATCAGACACGATTGTCGATTTCCGGCCTTCCTTCCGCAAGATGCGATATTGTCCAAGCATCTGGAGATGGCAAAGGCAGGTGCGGCTGCTGAGCGGGCAAGCTCTTCTGGCGTGCGAGGTGTGCAGGTGAAAGCCGGAGGGTTCAGCTGCCCCGACTTGCACAGAAGTGACGTCTGCGATGCTGTATAGCCTATAGCACAGCGGGGCGTGCAGCGAGCTCCATCTGGCACATTGCCCTGCGCAAACTCGAAACACGAGCCAGTCGGCGAAGACCACAAGACTCTCGGAGCTGGGCAGTCGCGGCAGTCACTCAGAACAACCCACATATATATAGCAAGTTGGCGCATGGTTCATGAGCTGCGCTGCCACCCGAGTTGGGCAGTGACGCCTCGGCATGTCTTGGCTTGATCCTGACAGCTAGCGGCATTCTGTTGTCATTGATGCTGGCTGGCGGAGTGCCCACAAGAACCACCGCACATTATAACTGGCGATGGCTGGCGCAAGGCTATTTCCCACGACATGTGTCATCCATGGTTTAGAAACCGTAAACAGTCCCTGTGTGAAACACTTCTGCCTTCCACAGGCAACTACTCACCCGATGAAGCGGTGATTGAGTTCCTCTGCGGGGCATCGGCATAGGACAACTTAGAGAAGATGCCGCATGCACCAGCCACCAGCTTCGAAACAAGGCTGCCTTGTGGTTGGTGGCGTTACAGTTCAGCCATATCATGATGAAGGGTCTGCGATTGCACCTTTGCGCTGCGTAGCACTGACCCGCCCGTGAAAAACAACCTGCTACAGTGCTACAGGCTAAAGGTAGGTTGCCCAATGGCATCATTTCTGCTGCAGTAAAACTTGCAAAAGTATGGGCAATCTAGCCAAGCCACAGGGAGCTGGCGTGGCCAGGAGCCTTTCTCCATGGCAATCTGAAGCTTGTTGTACCCGTCTCCTGGGCACTAAATATGGCATTAAACTTGGTTGGGTGCTTTCTTCATCTTCTTGTAGCCTGGGATTCCTGGCGCTTAAATCTCTGGCACTCACTGTCCTTTCTCGCATAATCTCGCATGGGTCCCGTACTATCTTCCCTCTCTCGCGCTCGTTCTCTATCTACGCAGCCTTCCGACCAACACATGATACAGCCGGGAATCTCCAGACATCCATGTCGAAGATATTGACTTGGAGCCCACCTTGACTGTAGATGTCCGTCTGAAATGCAGATCTTTTTTTCATGCCGGCTGGAAACACCAGAGCGCTTTCTGCAACACAGTTGGTCGGCCTACGATAGCTGCCGCTGCAAGTGCCAGCAAGCCTGCCAAAAAATCCCTGACACTTTCCGAGCAAAATGACAAAGCTGGTGCTCATGCCCTTACATGCAGCATGATGCCTGCGATGAAAATCAGCAGCATGCAGTTCAACCCCAGCAAAGCCCAGGTGTCGCCTTCGCCTGTCCTGAATGCGGAAGGTGCTTACTGGATCAGCCTGTAAAGCAGAATAAGATGACGCAGCTGGTCTCCGCCACGGCACAGCTGCATCCATTCCTTTATGGCCATTTTCGACTCTGGCGATAGATTTGCCACTCCCTGCCGGAACTTGGCCTCGCGACGCTGCGGCAACTTTGCTCGTCTAAGCCAGTGACGGTAGTAAACGGTGCCTCTTCTTCGGGCTTCAGTTTTCCTTGTCGAAGCCTCAAATCGAGCGGCCTGAGCTGCGAGATATTGCGAGATGCCGTGAGCACTGCGTTTTGCTGACGACAGGCCCGGCCTCTCCTCTGCCGCCTTCGGTCCCTCAGCAACGCTAAGAACGCTAAGAACGCATGCTCGGTCCGATGTGTCCAAGAGGGCTCCTCCACACCTGACTTGTCCTGCCCTGTGCCTCAGGTAGCATGGCTGCAGAGCGCTCTTGCCATCATAGGCTAGAAATGAGTTACCAAAGCACTGATACACCAAAATTTTTCCGGCCTTCCATCGCTTGCATGGAAGGCTCTGTCTCCTCCTCGCCAAAGCAGCAAGACATGCAGTGATCCAGGAAACTACACGAACGGGCTACCCGCAGCCTCTCGGGCTTCTTTGTCCCAGGAGGTCGGCTGTGATGAAGCACCACTCAAAACAAACACCTCGCGTTCAAGCCTCCACGGCGGTTTACAGATCGGACGAACAGCTGCCAACACGCAAGCGAGGAGCCATTGCTGCCGCAACGCCCACCTGACTGGATGCACCCCTCAAGCTTTCATGTGCGAAGCCTCCCTTTGTGTTGCGCAGCATTTGGGACATCATCGAAATACCAAGGCGTAGCCAAGCTGCAACTCCGGCTACCTGGTCAGCTCCGCATGCAGGTGAAGCGTGTGGACTCAGTACGTCCCGGAATATGTCGTCCGTGTGTAATTAGACAATCAGAAATGCGTTCTATCTAGGAATCAGAAAAGCAGTGACCACTTTCTGCCAGCGCGCGAGGGCCGGCAAGCCCTCTTCGGGCACACCAAGCATGCCTGTGAGTCGAGCATGAAAACTCGCGGCATGTCCTAACAAATGCAGTGCGCGCCTCTATGCGCCTCTTGGCCGTCTCGGCAAGAATGATTGGTGCTGGGCCCAACGCTGGCCAATTTCGCGATTCCACTCGTCTGGATTCACCAGCTGTGCTTGTTGAGACGATTACCAAAGGCAATGCAGCTTGACAAAACTATATGACTGTGTGGCACGGCCGGGCTCATGTAAAAACTGGAGGCACTTAGTATCACTTGATGTGCTCGGCAACTGCTCTGTTCGTCTTCCCCAAATTTTGGAGCCTGTGTCTGCGCTGCAGATGGGCCGCTAGTAGCAGATTCGAACATGAATTGGATGTCATCATGTGGCACGTCGCTCGCAGCAGACAGGGGCCTGCTGCCTTAAATGTGACCCCCGGAAGGACCAGCACCGAATAACCAGGCTGGTGGAAGCGGTATCGTTTCTTGGTGATACGCATTTAGCAGGACTGCTCTGTTGTGCCATCCTCTGCTCGGTTGTGCTCGGTTTGTTGTTGGAATCGAGTGGATAGGACTTCAACGCTCAGGAGGCCAAAGCGCGAGGAGATCAAAGCAGAACCTCGTGATATCTACCAATTCTGCGAAGCCACCAGCTGCCACAACCGACGGGGCAACGGTTGTGGCTGAGGGTTTATGTGCTTGCCGGTTCACTCGAGTTCTGTTGACCAAAACAGGACTCAAGACTGCTCACCTGCCTACCCCGTTGCCTCCTGAGAACAGCTAGCAAGAAGAGCCTAACCCACTCACCAACAACAAAGAATTCGCTCTGTCGGAAGGCTCCAGATCTCTGTGAGCGTGTCGCGCCCTAGCACATGGGCGCAGCGGGTCACACCCATCATGATGATGTCGGGGTTAGGGTCTTACATACTCCATCAGCAACGACGAGGTGGTAGAAGTGGAGCTGGAGGCCGAAGTGCCGGCCCATGCCGGCCCCGGTGACACCCCCGGAGGCACCAAACGCAGAGGTCGCAACTTCCGCGGGATCTACCGCGGGTGAGGAATCCGAACTTCCGGACTTCGAAGAAGCGGAAGCGGCGTATACGGGTCACGATGATGCCTAGCTGCCCTCCGAGCCGGAGGACTCGACCGATCACTCGATCCCGCAGTCCATGCGGCCGTCATGCAACCATAGCAGGGTCAGCGAAAAGCCGAGCAGTGTCGAAGCGGAATCTCGGCTGCTGGAGCCGTGAATTCTGATGCCGCTATGCCCGTGGCTTCTGCCACAGAGGTGCCACCAGCCTCGGTAGAGCCTTGGGGGCCGCGCCAGCTGAGCCAGCCGCGCCCAGTCTCGTGTCGATATCCACGGCTAGCACATACATGGTGTAGTAGTGCCCGGCATGCTCCCATCCGGCCTCCATTCGTCAGCGCCAGGGAGGGCCGCGGAGCGCGGCGAGGCAGTGGTGAAAGTAGTGGCGCGCAGCCAGATTTGCCTCTGGCTCTGCCCCGGTGCGTCTGAGGAGCACTTTCGGTGTCAGCCACCAGCTGACAGCTGTGATGAGGGAGGCCGTGGTAGCCAGGATCATCGTGACAATGGCCGCGGTCCATGACAGACGAGGTGGCTAGGCTAACCTCGTCCGCCATCACCTCCACGACTTCTTCCACCCGTCCATGCCGACGCACATCGTCGCCACAGATGCAGCCACGAGGCGAGCGGAGACCGTAGGCCCGTCGCCGTCTTCATTCGCGGAGGTTCTCACCCCGCGACCGGCTTGGGCCTATTCGCCCTCGGTCTCCTCTCGTAATTACCTCGGGCACGGGCTCGGTGATGGCCGTGTACCTGGATGTCATCGGAGGGGGGCGCTACTGCGGACAGGACCACCCTTTCCTCCTCGTCCAAGGCTGCCATGGCGGAGCTGAAGAACCTGAGTGGTCCACGTCGCCGGACCCGAAGGTCCAGGGCTCGGATCAACTGGCGTTGCCAGCGATGGCATCCAGCCGAAGTGCCCCGGAGATACTTGTTATCACTGATGTGGCAGGGTCTCCAGCTGGGGATGCATCTGCCAGAAGCACGAGGTCAGCAGGATCGCGTGGCGCTAGCTTTGAGCTAGCTTTGCTGCGCCGTGAATGCGCGGATCTGAGGCGGATGTTGGATGCTTCGGCGCGTCGCGAACAAGGGCTGTCGGCCCAAATACGAACCCAACACGTTCGCCGCCAATCCCGTGATGACAAAGCACGCCCGGCTTTGTCGTCGAGACCGCGCCTGGTGCGCGAGTAGTGCACCAGGCGAGCAGTGCTCCATCCCCGACTCGGGGTTCTCGGGACGCCTCATGCGTCGAGATCCTCCTCACGGCCTTTACGTGTGACGGAACTGGCTGTCGCAGCCCGCCTGCGAGGAGCCTCCCTTCGCCTGATGATTGACCTACAGAAAGCTCAGGCATGTAAGGAGTCTGGAAAGGCTTTGCAAACATTAATGGACGCCGATGTGCCAGTGAGGACGGCCTTCGCTCTCTCACAGGTCTACGGCGGCAGTTGGAAAGGTTTTAAGGGAGCGCTACACGTGAAGACACACCCCTTACCCGGTGCCGTGCACCGACGACAGCGGAGTGGGATCGGGTTGTGTTTTTCGCGGGATCTCATAACGTCACCCGCGCGTCGCAGGCTAATCGCGAGTTCGTTGTTCAGCGGGTCAGGCGACCGGACGGCGATAATGTCGCGACGTACCTGTCATGGTACGAAATCTTGTGGGCCACGTCCCAGCCCTTGGAGCTGGTTCACACGGCGCCTCCTGTTCGTCGTCTCCAGGGTAAAACCACGTTGTCCCAGGCGTCGCTCGCCGCGCAGAGCTCCGCACCCTGATCCGAGTTTAGCGCTCTTCTGCTGACGCTGAGGAGGGATAGCGGCAGCCAGATTTTTCAAACATTAGGGCAGCTGAAAGGGGCTTGCCTTGGTAATCGCATCCGTCTACCGCCAGCTGTTGTTGCGATCAAGCGACGTACCCCGCCACGGTGTGTCGCGTCCTGCAGTTTTTGGCGTAGTAAGCAAGGCGAGTGCCATAGCCAGGAAAGGTAAGCACACTACAGCGTTGCCATCTGCACGCGCAGCTGGCAGTAGTTTACGGGCCCTTGCCCAGTCCGGGTGCCCGCCGTGCCCCGCGACTGCACGGACTTGCTTGCGCCCACCGTGCGCCGAAACAGTCCGCCTGCTCTTTGCCGCTGGGTTTTACCGGGTACAACAGCTACGCCTATAACCGCGTCATGCCCTTTGACCCAAAGGGACTCAACTTTCAGGGCGTATCGGAGTGACGCTTGCTTCAGTGTAGTAGTAGTAGTAGTAGTAGTAGTAATACTAGAATTAGTATTAGTATTATTATTATTATTAGTAGTAGTAGTAGTAGTAGAAGCAGCAGCAGCATTAGTAGTAGTTGTAGTCGTCGTAGTAATCAGTAGCCCCCGGCCAAGCGGTTACGGGGTTCCTGCCCATGCGGGGTTCCCTGGTTTGGCCCTGACCACACCCCGTCAGAACGGCAGGATTTCAAGCCTACACCAAGGGAGGCGACGCATGGTGCGGCTCTGCCAAGACTTTACTGACTTCGGACTTTGGAGGATTTGAACGCCAAATCAGCACAGGACAGTCGCAGGAGCACGATCTGCACACGCGATTCATCAAGTTCGGAAGCGCCACCAAAGTATGTTGGAGTTACATGAGCTTGCAATGAATTCGGCGTCCTTGGTGGACTGGAAAGGCGAAGGACTTTTGAGAGAATACGACCTGCAGTTGATCATGTGCGCCGAGCCCTGTGCGCAGGCTAGTGGCGCCTCGCCCCATCTCTAAAAATGCCTTCACCCTTAATGTAGCAATGCCATCGTATTGCTACACCCTGCGCGATGTGTTCCAGCTCTACCGTTGATCGACTGCAATGATTACTGTGCTGACTACTGTAATGCACTTGGGCCAAGCTGTGTTGCAAGCAGCAGCGGCTGGCTACGTAAGATCGAAAGGTGCTTCCACACGGCCACAGCGCGAAGTGAAGAGACAGCGAAACCTTTCTTGCACACGGTGTGACAGGTCGGAGGACGTATCCTTTCCGACCAACACTTGCTCTGATCCAAAGTTGCTGCCCACAGCCAGTGGTTCTTGCAGTGAACAGCACCTGGCAAACTCGCAATGGCGAAGCCTGCGTGTTTGCGAACACTAATTTCACAGCTCATGTGCCGTTTGCGCTTGCTGTGCCGGCAACTGTGTTCGTGCCAGCATGAAGGAGTTTGCAAGTCATGGAGTGATCTTAGCTTCTGAAACTTCACAAGCGAGCGAGCTGTGCAAAACCGTTGAAAGCTTCACTTAGAACTTAGAAAGTGAATTCCCTAGCAGAAACCACAAAAGGGTCTCCTTCTGTGGAGCCTTGCCCACATCAGCTGTCAGTTACGGATCAAGCCCTTCACGTGCTTGAGCTGCGCTGCATGATCGTCTCGATAACATCGTCACTCAGAGAACCGCCCTTCTCGTTGAGAACTTGCCTGTTGAGCTCACGATCCTTGAAGCCCATGTCTGCCAAGGTCTTCAGCATGTCATCCATGCTCTGCGGGATGCGCTCACCTGGGAAGCGCACAGCGTTCGGCAACTTCTGCGTTCGGGGGTCGTTTGAGAAGTACGCACCTGTGACATTGTTAATCGCATCAGTCACTCCTTTGAAGAAGATATTTAATTGCGTCTGTGCCAACACCGGCTCTTCAACACCGTTCAGAGCACAGCTCTGCAGATGCTTGTAGAAGGTGCTCCAGTCCATCCGTGCTCCTCGATCTTTCTGGGCATCCCTTCCTGTGAGATCTCTGAAAACACTTGTCGCTGTTTCCAGGCCGTACATGTTTCCCTGTGGAAAAGTGTTCATCAGATCCGAAGCTGAAAGCAAGTTGTCCCGGTCAGCATCTGCATCTTGGAAAATCTTGAAGATCTTGGGCTCGAACTCGGGCTGGCTCAAGTCAATGCAAGCCGCAACAAACTCGGTCCAATTGATTGCGTCCTTGTCTTGACTCAAGTTCATAGCTGCAGCTGCACGACTAGCCTCAGCCTCATCAACCCCATGCTTCATTAGCGTAGTCTTCAATCCATCTGTCGGCAGCGAACCATTGCCATGAACATCAAACTCATTGAACAATTGCTTGAAGGTGGGCATCTGGTTAGGCGGCCAATCCTGAGCAATTTTCATTGCTATGTTCTTGTACAAGACCGATCGACAATGAACCGAAGCCAGCCGCTTCATCAGCCTCTGCCGATTTGACTCGTTTAGACTGCCAGTCTGTTTCGGATCAGAGGCATCTTTCAAGAATTTGGTCGCCAAGCACTGAGACGCAGAAGGGCGACGCTGCCGCTCCTGCAGCAGCATGCCTTCAAGTAATTCCTTGACATCCCGGGAAGTGCCAGACACATACTGCCATGCAGGCCGCGGTTTCTGCCGCCAGAACTTCACAACATCGTCAAAGTTGCCCTCGAACTTGACTCGAAAAGGCATCTCCCCACAAAGAAGCTCAAAAAACACACAACCGCAGCTGAACACATCAGCCTCGGGTGTGATTTCGCCTGACCAAACCTCTGGAGCCATTGTCATGGGCGTACCCATTGGACGATTGCCCCTATAGTCACCAGGCTTGAAGTGCATGGCAATCCCGAGGTCTATGACAACCACGTGGGGCTTGGAGTTGAAGGTTGCAGATTTGGCGTCTTTGGCATCGCCCTTTCCGAAGAAGGCTGCTGTCTTTTGGCTGGGCATGAGCATGATGTTCTGCGACTTCACATCTAAGTGGATGATTCCCCGAACATGGATGTGGCAAATTGCCTGCATCAGCTGCTGCATGGCTTCAGCGATCCATGGCATGGGGATTTCCTGCCGAGTCTTTTTGGCAGATGAAATGTGGCCATGCAGCTCCCCTCCAGGGCAAAAGTCGGTCACAAGGTACACATCGTCCTTTGTGCTATACACCTCATAGAGCTTCAAGATGTGAGGGTGGTCAAGGTTCGTCAGGTTCTCGATTTCTTTCTTCATCGCCTGCATATCCCCATGGAGCTTCTCTTTGGAGATTTCCTTTATGGCCCTGACCTGTTTGGAATGCTTGTCGCTCGCCAGGTACACGAAACCGTAGGTGCCGTGGCCTAGTTCTTTGCCTTTGGCATACTTCTGCCACGGCTCTCCCTCCTTAAACGAATCGATGGAGAATCGAGGAATCGCTTGAACTGAGATTTCCTGCTGCAGCTGCAACAGCTCCCAAAAGACTTTCTTGAACTCATCCAGGCCCAAGCCCGGTTCGCTTCGGGCAGACTGCATCAAATGAACTTGGGAACCCACCAACCCCAGCAGTCCGTCCAAGTAGGCTCCAAGGTGCGGAACTTGCTCCGCAGGAATTGGGCGATCCTTGGCCCTTGCAGCACTGACAAAGATTTGCTCTGCAACTGGTTCCACTTGCTCCTGCTGCACAATGCCCTGTGCTGTTGCCACTTGTTGGGCATTGGGGATAGTCCTTGACCGAACTTTCCGGCGCTGGTCCGACCGACTGATGAAAGCGTTCGGCTTGACGTTGAGGCAAATGCCACCGGACTCGTTGTCCACATCGGTGATGATAGCTGGCATCCAGCACTGGTTGTGATCACTCCAATAGTCCAACTGTTGACCCTGCACGAGTTCCGATGGATCTATCGGTTTCCTGGCAGGTGGAGCAGGTGGAGCAGAAGCCTCTGGCCGGAACTGTGGCAGTTGGTATGCAAAAGCGGCATGCCCCGGAGAAGAACTGCGTTTGGGTGGCGCCGATGCCCGACCCTGAAGTCCGTACAATCTGCGCATGTCTGGCACCGGGGTAGCGGGGCGGCTGGGGCCCCCCTGAGGGTAGCCGGAAACAGGGGCGGGCATATGCAAATGCTGCATCCTCGCAGCCCACAGTTGCCAACACACCAGGCTTTTCCAGAAGCTACGAGACGCTGCCGGGGCTACTTCAAATCACTAGGAACCAATGCAGGGCGAAGCACAGGAACCTGCAAAAGCGCACTCTAGCTCAGCACATGCCACCCACAGACCGCTGATGGCTATCTTCGTGCGACATTTCCCACGTATTTTTGCCGAGTTCTTGCGGAGCCAGTTCTTGGTCGCCAGCCTAGTTTGCACCACGCCGATCTTCACGCCATGGAAGGTTCTGCACTGCTGACTGCGGAAGAGCCACTTGCGAAGCCAGGCCGGCTTCGGACTGCGACGAACCAAAGCTGTGGCGGCCCTGGCCCTTGTCTTTGAGCGACGCCTTGGAAACTACAAAACACTCCGAAATGCTCGCAACAGAACACGTTGGTTGACAGGCAAGACATGCAAGACAGTCATGCAAGACTTCGCTGTGGACCCTTTCTGCGCTTTCGGCCAAGGCGCCGTCTGTCTTTGCTTGCGGAGAGCATACTCCTGCGCTCTCTACGGGAATCTGCACGGAACTTCGCCTTAGCTCTGCACATGGAAACATGGTATGATGAATGCTCGGACAATGGAAACGCAGGGACGATGACGCTATGACATGCATGACACGCAGCACAGATCCGAACTGCTCGCCTGCGATTTTTCTGACAGCTGCTGCCAGCCATCCCGCCCGGATCCGCCACTGGCTAGAAATAGCGCATAGCCGCCAAAGCGTAGTGCCGCTGCCTTGACACCCGTGGTCACAACGCACGCTCGCACTCTCTGAGCTGTTACAAAACAGTGGGCGCAGGGCTGCTGCTGCTGCTGCTGCCGCTGCCGCTCTAGCTGCTGTCACTGCCATTGCCACCGCCACTGCCACTACGACGACGACGACGACGACGACCGCTTCTAC